CTGCAGCTGCTGATTCAGCCCGAGGAGCACTGCTGTGCAGCAGCAGCAGCAGCGGCAAGATCAGCAGCGGCAGCAGCAAGAGCCGCACAGGAGCAGCAGCAGCAAAAGCTGCGCAGCAGCAACAGCAGAAGCTGCACAGCAGCAGCAGCAAGGGCTGCAAAGCAGCAGCACAAGCTGCAAAGCAGCAGCACAAGCTGCAAAGCAGCAGCAACAAAAGCTGCAAAGCAGCAGCTGCAGCAAAAGCTGCACAGCAGCAGCCGCAGCAGCAAAAGCTGCACAGCAGCAGCAGCAGCAAAAGCTGCAAAGCAGCAGCAGCAGCTGCTGCTGCTGCTGCTGCTGCTGCCCCTCAATATGTGAGGGTTTTTCTCTTTCTCTGCAAACCAAGGCGCTGCGTTTCAGCCCCACTGAAATAAATAAAAAAATAAATAAATTTAAAATAATCAATTATTTAAAATTAAGTTTTTAATTTGTTCTTAATTATTCAAAAAGGCAATTCTCCATTTTGCTGCAGAGCCGCCAGCTGAAGGCAAACGGGGTGTATGCGCAGCGCCGCTGCGGCTGCCCACAGGAACAGCAGCAGCACCAGCAGCAGCAGCAGCAGCAGCAGCAAACAAGCAGAACAAATATATTTATGTTTTTATTTAAAATCCGGACTTTTGCTTTAATTCATGTTCTTGAAAGCTTCGAAGATTCAGCAGCACCAATTGGTTTGAGCTGTTTGCTGTGACGCAGCAGCAGCAGCAGCAGTAGCAGCAGCAGCAACAACAGCAGCAGCGCAGCTGCTGTGTCTTGTTGCTGCTGCTCTCTCTGCTCTTGCTGTACTTGTTTCGCTAGTGAAGCAGCAGCAGCTGTGTCTGCAGCAGCTGCATCTGCAGCAGTTGCGCTTGCAATGCTGCAGCAGCAGCAGCTGCTGCAGCATTGCAAGCATCAGCTGCAGCAGCAGCAGCTGCTGCTGCTGCAGCTGAGGCTGCCACCGCTGCTGCTGAAAAAGAAGCAGCAGCAGCCTCCGCTGCTGTTGTCGCTGCTGCTACTCTTCGCCTGTTGCGGTTTCTGTTGTTTTTTCTGCTGCTGCTGCTGCTGCTGCTGCTGTTTCTTCTATTTCTTTTGCTGCTGCTGCTGCTGCAGCTAACTCTGCTGCTGCAGCTCCTGCTGCTGTTGCTAAAGGTGGGCATGGTGGCGACGGTGCTTTTGCTGCCGCTGCTGCTTCAGTTGCTGCTGCTGCCTCAGTTGCTGCTGCTGCCTCAGTTGCTGCTGCCGTGTCGTCCAGCTCTGCAGCAAGATGCATAGGAGCTTTTGCAGCATCTTCTGCTGCTGCTGTTGGTTGTGCTGCTGCTTCTGCTGCTGCTGCTGCTGCGGGCTGTTGCATTGCAAGTGCTGCTGTTGACTCCCCTGCTGCTGCTTCTGTTGCTGACGCTGCTGCAGCTTCTGCTGCTTGTGTTGCTGCTGCTGCTGCTGCTTCAGCTGCTGCTGCTGCTGCTTCAGCGTCAACTGCTTGTGCTGCTGCTGCTGAAATTTCTGTTGGTAACGCTGCTGCTGCTGCAGCTTCTGCTGCCGGAGCTGCAGTGTCTTCTGCTGCAGCTGCTGCTGCAGGTTCTACGCCTGCCGCTGGTGCTGCAGCGTCTGCTGCTGGTGGTTCTGCTGCTGCTGGCGCTGCAGCGTCTGCTGCTGCTGCTTCTGCTGCTGCAGCAAAAGGTGCCTCAGCAGCTTTCCTAAACGTGTTGGGCGATTCAGCAGCAACCTTCAGCTGGTGTTGCTGCTGCTGCTGCTGCTGCAGTGCAGCTGGCGAGTGTCCAACAGCTT